GGAAGGAAGGAAGGAAGGAAGCAAGGAAGGAAGGAAGGAAGGAAGGAAGGAAGGAAGGAAGGAAGGAAGGAAGGAAGCCAAGCTGACGCTTTTCTTGTAGTATGTATTTCATTGTGACCACCATGGGAAACTTGGCCCAACTTTCCCTTCCTTGCCACAGGTGAGAAGGTGACCCTGTCCATCTTCGCGCTCCTCACCCTCACTGTCTTCCTGCTCCTGCTGGCTGACAAGGTGCCGGAGACGTCCTTGGCTGTCCCCATCATTGTCAAATACCTCATATTCACCATGACCCTGGTCACCTTCTCGGTCATCCTCAGCGTGGTGGACCTCAACCTGCACTTCCGCTCACCCAACACCCACCAGATGCCCTTCTGGGTGAAGCAGGTAACCGCTCTGACCCCCTACAGGAAACCCACTCCAGTTCGGAACCAAGAGGCAGGTCTATCTAGCATTTGTCCGAGGATTGCCATGAGATGGGAGCTGAAGAAGCTTCTTCCATCTGCGGGTCTTCCCAAAAAAAGAGCAGAAACCACCTTGTAGACTTTTTTGTCCCATGGAAAGCCTTGATCTTCCTAGATAGTTCAAGGGTTCCTCCTGAGAATCAAGATCTCCCCCCCGGCCCACAATCTAGCACCTTCCAAGTCCCATCGCTCCAGCTGAGATGATAGATGTTGTAACCCAGTGGTTCTCAAACTGGGGTCCCCAGATGTCCTTGGACTGCAAATCCCAGAAGCCTTCCCCACTATCTGTGCTGTCCAGGATTTCTGGGAGTTGCAGTCTGATAACATCTGGGGACCCCAGATTGAGAAATACTGTTGTAATCTGACACATCTGGGAAGCATGTGGTTAGGGAAGCTGTCTGTATATAATTTTCTTTGAGATCTGAAGATGGCTATTATATCACCTCTGTGCTTTTTTCCCTCCTCCAAGCTTAAAAAAAAGCCCAGTTCCCACAACCGTTCCTGTTAAGAGTGGATTTCCAGATCTTTGGCCAACTAGATTACCCTCTTTTAAATATTTTCTTGGTTTGCCACATCTTGCCACTTCTTTAGAAGGAATGTATAATACAGTAGGACCAGTATCTCTGCAGGACCAGAGATACTGATTCACTTATCCGCAGTCTGAAAATATTAAAAATATTAAAAGAAAAAGACTAGAAATAAATGTTTCTAAAGCTGACATTCCCAGAACTTGCCACTGGAGGGAACCAAAGACCATGCATTGAATTAAAATTAAAACAGTGCTCACTATAATCCGTGTTTTTCAGCATCTGGGGGCAAGGCGTGGAACCTACTGTCTGTACGTTCTGCATCCTTTCTCGCTCTTCTTTTCTCTCTAGATTTTTATCCACACGCTTCCCCGGTATTTGGGTCTACGGCGTCCAAAGCTGGAACCTCTTCTCAAGCCTCCTCCGCTGCACCCCAAACCAGAACTCACTGTGAAATCCAACCGCCGTACCGATGAATATTTCATCCGGACCCCTGCCTACGAGTTTCCCAAACCCAACAGGTGGGTACCTTGCCTAGTGCCGAGGATGTTGATACAGAGCGCAAGAAACAGACGTGGAAGAAAAGATGGAGGTGGCTATGGGAAAGGTGGCATCAGAGCCAGAAGTTGGGAGTTTGAATCCCGTCCCCTGTCCTGTGTGTTCCCCCCCCCCCATAGTGCCTCCTTGACAGGGGCTGGACTTGGTGATTCAGATGGTCTCTTCCAGTTTTACAGTTCTAAGATAACTTTTGGGGTGGGGGCAGGATGAAGGAAAGCGAATTGACATGGGAGGAATGCTTGTATTCGTTGCATAGCCATGAAGAATTAAGATATTCAGACGTTGTGCTAGCCAGGGGGCCTTTTGTTGTGGGAGATGAGGAGCCAAATCTTTCCAAGGCGTCATATGATTTGTATCGAAAGCCGGGGGGGAAAAAGGATGCGCTTCCTCACGGACACATTTGTCTGATGACAAAGCAGCCGTACGGTCCTTTGCTGGCAGGAAAGCGGCTCTAAGGGTTTGCATCAAAGATTTGCATTCTTATCTTTGCAGTTCACAGGTGTGGGAAGGAGCAAAAGACAGGTTCAGAAAAAGAAAGTTAAATATGCAGCGCCAGCTTCTTGTTTTCTTCTTCTTTCCCCTTTCTGGGCCCTCTCAGAACACTTCATTTTCTGATTTATTTCTTGTGCAGTGGGATTCACCATGTTGTTGCATCTGATCTGCTCATAGTCTAGCGCTAAACTGCTTCTCTGCTTCAGTGCTGCCCCGGGCATGGGGGGAGGGGCTTGCCTTTCCCAGGGTCCAGTGAGTGCCCACCGTTGCATAGTTCAAGTGTCCTCTCCTGTGCCGTGCTGGCTGTTGCTTCCTTGCGCCCATCACGTATTTAGGGCTCAAATGCTTCTGAAGCACCATAGCGCTAAACTCTGCTCCCTGTAGTACAAAGGGGAACAAAAAACAAACCAAGAACTTGGGAAGAATGAAAAGTTGTGGAATTGGAGGGAACAAAGGGTAAAAAGCGAGATATAAGAACATAGTTTGGACATTGGGATAAGATCTGTCCAGAACCTCGCTCAAAGAGGCACAACAAATACTCCATCTGGAAGATCCCCCCCATTGCTTTACCACCGTCATTTCCCCCCCCCAGATGCGTACCTGAAAACAGTCACATGGCATATCCTAATCAGCTGAAAATCATAGGATGCGCCAATGGCAGACCTCACGTTTCTGCATTCTATTTTTTTCTTACTGGAATTCCAAAATTCAAAGACCAGATCCAGACACAAGGTGGCCATTCAATCCATTTTCTAACCAATGTGGTAAAATTGCAGTACTCGTGTACCGATGTGGTATAAGCTTAAAACCATGTCTGTTGGTCCTAACGCGTTACCCTCAAATTATTAAAGAAAATTGGTTTGTTGATGTTGAAATATTGGGAGGAAATTGCAAACTTGATTCATTGCCTTACTTTTTGTTTGTATCCCCTAATTTTTAAAAGCAGCCCCAAAAATGATTTAAACAACAACAAAAACCCACCCAGTAACAAATTAAATGAATGGAAGTTGTTAATAATTACAGAACAATATAATGGACTATAAAATCATTTCTGAATGACAGGGATGACAGAATAATTTTTAATGAAATTATTTCCTAACTCACCGGCAGGTCAGTTCAGAGGACTGCAAAGCCAGTTACGAGTGAGGCCAATCCACCTGGCCCTCACTTTGAATAGGCAAATGTTTTTGCTCCATTTTGGAGCAACCTCCAGGGGAAAAAATGACCAAAGGGAGGGAAAAAAGGGCCACTAGTTGGAGGAGCTGCTGAGAACCTTCTCCCATTCGCTGCTCTTTAATATTCCTTCCCAAAACCGTACGGCTGTCCGAGGCAGAAATGTGGGATGGTTGTTCTATCGATGGTGACTCCCTCCTGTCGTCCCCCCTTTGAAGGTTTCAGCTGGAGGCCTTTTCCACGGATATGAAGAAATTCATAGACGGCCCGACTCACAGCGTGGCGCTCCCACCGGACTTAAAATCGGTCATGAACGCCGTCTTGTATATCGCCGAGCAGCTGCAGGAACAGGACGACTACGATGCGGTGAGTCCCTGACGAGGAGGGGAGCCGGCCTCTTCCACCCGCCCCAGCCGAGCTGCCCCTTGGGTCCCTCCTCCTGTGCTCACCGGGAGAGAAGGGAGCTGGCCCGAAGGCCCGGAGGTGAGAGCCCTAGAACGAAGGACGACACGGGGTGGTGGTGGTTCGAGGGGCTTTCGTTCCGCTAAGCAGTTCTCCTGCACAGGCCCCAGGTTTCGAGAACAACAGGGTCGAGCAGGGACAGGATTGCTCGTGGACACAGGGCTGGTGGAGGAGAACCACCACGCAGAATCGTGGCCTCTCTGGATGAATGTCCAGAGGATAAATTCGGACCTCAACCACGCCGGGGTGACGGGGTAGGCGATAGGGAGTCTCCATTCCGTGGGGCCCACAGATTTGCCGCGGCTTGGCGTCTGGACCGGAGACACGTGGGTTTGTGTTCATGGACTACCACTCCCAGAATCCCCCAGACAGCTGGACACGGGAGTCCAGAAAACACAGATCTGCTCGCACCCTTAACCTGGCCCTGACAGGAGCAGTTTGAGATGCTAAGATGTCCTTTTGGGAGGCGGGCCACGGCATCGTGGATCGCTTCTGTAAAGTCCAAGCGAAGGACTGATCCAAGCCGTCTCCGGTCCACACCCATCCCAAAGCGGAGTCTCCAGCCACGGCTGCCGTGTGCCACGCCGCTCTCCTCTGGGAGAAGACCGGGGACCCTTCCGTGGCCTCGGGCTCTCTGTTTCTCCGATGACCCACGACATTCACAAAAGGTGTCTTTCTTCTCCTTCCAGCTGAAGGAGGACTGGGAATATGTGGCAATCGTGGTAGACCGCCTCTTCTTTTGGACCTTCATCACCATCACCACGCTGGGCACCCTCAGCATCTTCCTGGATGCCAGCTTCCACCTGCCGCCTGACCAGCCCTTTCCGTGAGACCCTCCTGACCCCTCGGAGAAGGCCGTCCGGGCTCTTCCATGACCAAAGGCCTGCCAGAAGTGACCACACACACACACCGGCAGAAACCTGGGGATGTGGCTGCCCCCAAGCTGGCCGCCCCCCATTTTCGAGTTAAGTGCGTGTGGATGGCATTTCGGTCTGTGGTTTGCTCAAGAGTGGAACACAGGCCCTCGATAAGACGCGTCACAGCCTCCCCACCCCCCACCCACCCGGTCCCTCCTTTTCTAAGCAATAAAAGCTTACGGTGAGTGGGAGTCGGGACTCAGGACTTTACTCCATGCGTCCATCTTTCGTTCACTCAATGCACAAACAGCACCGGACAGCAACTGACCCTCACGTTTCTGGCCCTCAAAATGTGCAAATGAGAAACCCTCTCGCCCTCCTGTTGAAGGCTTGGCAGCCCCCTTCTGCTCCTGCAAAAGGTGGGTGGCCCTTTGCTAACCTGTGTTGTAGTTTTTTTGACCCACCCGCGTAAAGGTCGGGGCACGATTCCTCCGAGGCCCCATGGATGGCCAGCCCTTTCCTCCTATAGCGGAAAGGCTGGCTATCGCAGCCCTGTTACGCCAGAGGATCGGGCGGAATAGATCAGAGCTGGGGAAAGTTACTTTGTAAGACTGCCCTTGTCCAAACCGCCCCCCTCCCCGTTCGGACTCCTGTCCAGCAAGCCAGTGACCCCCTCAACGTCCACGGGTGCATCCTGTCCTCCTGGAGAAGCTTTCTGAGCTGGAGAACCATCCAGGGAGAGCCGTCGCTTCCCTACACAGCCTGGAAAGCCGAGACGGTCCGGAATTTCCTGCCATTCTGCTTTCTGGAAGGTCCCTTTTTCGGTCTCTGCTGAGAGAGGAGGACCATCTTTCCTCTTCTGCCCTGTGGGCTTGCTTTTATTCACACCTACCCCCCCGCGTGTTCTTACCTGCCTTCCCCCCCCCCAAGTGAAAGAACCCCAGGCATTTCCTCCTTGGGGAGGTA